TGCATGTAACCATTCAGTTAACAGTGCAATACGCGTCGTGCGACCGAATTCGTGGTTCTGTGTGTTGTGTGATGTCATCATATGCTATCACATTCTGTCTGCCTCCCATCCCTTGTTTCAATTCGCATGTATGGTTTGACTTTGTGTGAAAGAATTTGTGTGGTGTGTGTTCTGGAGTTTGGGAATATGTTTTGTGTTATTCTGTCTGAGCAGGTATTTGAGATGATAGATCTTGAGAAGATCTTTCCGACGCAACGAGAATCCCTTCAATCGGAGCAAGAACGCGAAAGCTATGAAGATTCAAAGTTCCTGAGCTTGCGTTACAATTGCGGCGGTTACAAAGTGAAGTTGTGGGGTGACTCTATATGGAGTTGGGACCTTTGGGGTTGGGGAAATTTGTCACTCTACTGTAACAGCTGCAAATTGGTTGGGAACAACCAAGCTAGGTTGGCAAGGGTGGCCAACTTGGATGGATTGGTTGGGAAGGGACAAATGTCAAAGTTGGGGTTCCTATAGGGAGGGAATCTTTGTGCTTATGGGGTTTCCTTGGTTGGAGACTCTCTTGGGACCTTCCCTCTCGTCCCTCTCTTTCTATCCCAACCTTTCTCTTGCTCCTTTAATTCCTTGTGAGATTCTTGAACTTTGATTGAACTTTTGAGATTGAGTTAAGTTCTCCTCCTACAGCTTACCCCCTAGTGCGTCGAAAGCCATAGCGTCACGAATACTTCATCAATCAACGTGATTCAAATTGGGAAAGGTAGCTGAGATTAAGAGCTACAACATATCCGAGTTTCGCGACATTCCAACGACTAGGTTTTTGTCGACGTCGTTTCTTGTGAAGACGACTTTTCTGTCCAGAATTTCGAATTTATATTTTGAGTAATTCTAGCTCCTAAGTTCACCTAGACTCCGTCCTTAATACTAACACTGTGAACAGTGAAAATGCGAGACAAACAGTGTTTTTTTGGCGAACAGTAGCTGATTCCGGAATTGCAGACCTGGAAATCACTTGAATTCCCCAGTCATAAAGCGTCTCTATTTCCTCGTTGCAAGCTGCTCGCCCAAACCCGTCGTAGAAACTCCGTGCGATGCACACAGTGTTTTTGCGCAATTCGCATCCAAATGATCGTGTCGCAACAAACAGCAAAACGAGTTCTTTTGTCATTCCTCCAATCAGCAAGCTCGACCAAAATTTGTTCGACTCGTTTTTCTTGTCCAGGCTTGAACTCAAAGCTGCCTTCCATTCTATACTTCGACGGATTTCAAAGCACCAAATTCAAATGGTTTCCAGGTCTGCTATTTTAGCCGCGGGCTTTAACGTAGAACGAATTGATTAGAATGAGATGGTACAAGGGGATATAACCTAAGGGGTTGTACTCTATATGAGCATGCACCTAGCTAACCTATAACATATACAAATTATATGTTAACACTGCTAAATAATATATTATATATACTTGTAGGCTTGGTAGGTGTTATTGGGAACCTACTGCTGAGGGTACAACTCCCTCATTGTATCCCTCTCTCTTCTAATCTCACACTCTTCTCTCTCGATATTTTTCCTAGCCTAAACCTCTCGCCATTCATGACTTCCTCTTCCTACCTAGCTTAGTTTAACATGGTATCAGAGCAGGCTGTCCCTCCCAGGCCTGCTCCTCACGCTTCCGCCGCATACTACTCGCCCTTTCTCTCTCTCGCTGCCATGGCGGCCGCGTCGTGCTGCTGTGGCGGCGTCGTTGTGCTGCCGGCCGCGTCGTGCTGCCGCGGCCGTCTCGACGCGCTGCCGTGGCGTCGCGCCGTCGTGGCGTCGACGTCGAGCCGCGTGACGGCGCAGTCGTGATGCCGTGGCGACGTGCTGCCAACGCGCGTACGGCACAGTCAGCAACGGCCAGTGCTCCGTCTTAGCGCTGGCCAGCATGCCCGCATGCAGCCAGCGCGCCACTCAGGGCGGCATGCTCTCGGGTTCTGGTGCTGAAGCCCCGCCCCCCACCCCCCTTTCCCTGCGTCCCCTCTTCCTCGCCGCAGCCGACGGCTGACTCGCGCCGGCCGTCCCACCGTCGCGGAGCCCGGCCACGCCGCCGAGTGCTGCGAGCTCCGCCGCTGCCAACAGCTGTCGTCGAAGCCGCCGCCACCGCAGCTGGTGCCGCCGGCCACGCCGCCGCACGCTGCCACCGCTGCCGCTGTCGACGCTGCCGCCGTCACCGCCGTTGCAGCCGCTGCCCTTGTTGTCGCCATCGCCCCGGCTCACGCACTGTGGGGTTGACCATGCGGGAGTAGCCGTCGCTGCTGCTGAGTATGGGAGAGCTAGGGGGTGTGTGGCTTAGTGTGCTGTGTGTGTGGTGTGCTTCCAGCTACCAAGCCTAGGGGGTGTGTTAAATTATATCTTATACATAATTGTAGGCTAAGTAGGCGTTACTGGAACCTACTGTAGAGGGCACAACTCCCTCCTTGTATCTCTCTCTCTTCTAATCTCACACTCTTCTCTCTCGATATTTTTCCTAGCCTAAACCTCTCGCCATTCATGGCTGATTCTTCCTACCTAGCTTAGTTTAACAGACACACCCCCTAGGCTAGACAAGGGGCAGCGATTAGCAAGCAACACACAGCTGAGGGTGGCACTACTAGTCCAACCTCTGAGCCATGGGTCCGAAGACTAGTCAGCAAGAGTACCAACTAAACAAGTGTAACCCAGGGCGGCACTACTTGTCCAGCCACTAGAACAAGAGCCACAAGGCCAGTCAAGATAATATAAATAGTAGTACATAGTGAGGGTCCTAGCAAGTGAGAAGCTACAGGAACTAGACCAAGCTATACATAGTGTTGCTGATGATCTTTAGGCGCAAGTGCATTCGTAAAGATATCAGTTGTGTTGGCACTTGAGGTCAAGTGTATTACGCGGGCCTGGCGGCGCTGCTGTAGCTAGCGCAGGAGGAAGTACCACCGTTGGATGTGCTTCGCTCTGCCCTCAACCGAGGTTGGGATAGAAAGAGAGGGATGAGAGGGAAGGTCCCAAGAGAGTCCTCAACCAAGGAAACCCCATAAGCACAAAGTTTCCCTCCCTATAGGAACCCCAACTTTGACATTTGTCCCTTCCCAACCAATCCATCCAAGTTGGCCACCCTTGCCAACCTAGCTTGGTTGTTCCCAACCAATTTGCAGCTGTTACAGTAGAGTGACAAATTTCCCCAACCCCCAAAGGTCCCAACTCCATATAGAGTCACCCCACAACTTTACTTTGTAACCGCCGCAATTGTAACGCAAGCTCATGAACTTTGAATCTTCATAGCTTTCGCATTCTTGCTCCGATTGAAGCGATTCTTGTTGCGTCGAAAAGATCTTCTCAAGATCTATCATCACAAATACCTGCTCAGACAGAATAACACAAAACACATTCCCAAACTCCAGAACACACCACACACAAATTCTTGCACACGTTCAAACCATACATGCAGGTTCAAAACATGGGATGGGAGGCAGACAGAATGTGATAGCATATGATGACATCACACAACACGTAGATCTCGGCCTTGCAGCTCGATTGGGCAACAGACGACAAGCGAGTGGACCTCCACGAGATGGCGCTTGCGCCAAGGCTAAAGCAGTAGCCCTGGGAGGACCTGGGCATCTTAGCGTCGTCCGCCCACGAAGCGTCTGTATGCCCTGTAAGGACCACTGGCCTGCGTCCTCCTAGCACTAGCCCCAAGTCCGATGTACTTGCTAGATAAGGCAAAACTCTCTTAGCGGCCAACCAGTGCTGTGGTTTGTGTCTGCCTGCGGCCACAAATTGAGCAAGGAGGCTGAGAGGGCATGGGATATCTAGAAGAGTGCAAGTCATCAGGTACATGAGGCAACCCACCAGCTCTACGTACGGACCACTAGGCTCTACCGACTCCTCGGGGACTAGAGCCAAGAGCCTGTGATCTACTCGCAGAGGTGTGGGTTGTGCGGAGGAGAACTGAAGGCCGAACCTTTGAAGGACCAGGCGTACGAAGTGTGACTGTGTGAGAGTGATGGTGCGCCCTGCTCTGTCCCTGGAGATCTGCAAGCCAAGGAAGCGGTGCAACTCTCCTAGGTCAGTGCAGGTGTGTCTCCTCACCAGCTCTGCCTTCATGGAGGCCAGTGCGTTTCTGTCTGCAGTAGCAAAGACTAGGTCGTCTACGTAGACTAGGATGTAGAACGGGGTCTGACCAGCATGAACGAAAATTGAAGGGTCTGCAGACGACGGGAAGAACTCAATGTTAGCAAACGTACAACGCAACGTATCGTGCCACTCGCGCGGTGCCTGCCGCAGGCCGTAAACCGGGCGCCGGAGGAGCCACTGGGTTCCGGGGGTGAAGGTGCCCGTAAAGCCTAGCGGACGACGCACGTAGACCTGCTCGTGCAGACTGCCTTGAAGAAAAGCTGTCGAGAAGTGTCGGAGAAGCACCGGTTCTGTCTGGAAAACCCCTCTCACCCCTGTCTCATGACACTCTCTTCCTTGAGGCTCTATCCACGCCCTGCCTCTGCCCAGTGCACTTCTGTGAGTTGCCCATTTTGAAAAGCCCACTGCTCCTGACAGGCTCTTAAGCCGTTCAGACTAGGAGCATACTTACTTCAACTGTCACCGTGCTCGTACGACACTCGTTTGAGTTAACAAGTAGTTTTTATCGAGAAGAAAGAAACAAACACACGAGCTGAGCTCACATAATTTACGACTAGTGCTATATACATGAGTGCCACAGCCTAGCCTAGAGATTCAGCGAGCAGGTGGCCCTTCAGATTCTCAACCATCCTGCTCTACAAGCACACTATGTACTAATAGACCATGCATGCATAACCATTCCGGTACAAGCACTGTTTCACGCCAGTTTGCACCGCTCCGCCTCAGCAAGCCCGCATGGTGCCCTCGCCACGTCCTCAGCCCCCCCTCTCCAACGTGCCTCTGCTCCAGAATCCTCGGTTCCGCCAATTGGTCTCCTCAGCCGCATCCGCACTGCAAGCCCATCGCCCCTGAGTCGTACACCTCACTAACCCCAATCTGGCGCATTCTTATAACTGCAATGCAATTACAATAATGCGACAGCTGTCGGAGAGCCACCGGTTCTGTCTGGAAAACCCCTCTCACCCCTGTCTCATGACACTCTCTTCCTTGAGGCTCTATCCACGCCCTGCCTCTGCCTAGTGCACTTCTGTGAGTTGCCCATTTGCCCCCTTCCAGCTGCGCTGCGTCCCGCACAGCTGACTGGAACTCGCGCAACTTTAGCCCCGAGCTCTAGCCACATTCGTCACATGGTCCTGCCAGACTCCCCCGTCTTCATTCTCCAGCACCAGTACGCCCGAAAGCTTCACAGCCTTCACCGTCCATCGTTCTGTGGTCAGTCCTATATCTAGAATGTCGTGTTTTGCCTTCCGCAGGTACACCTCTGTCCTTGCCTTCACCTTGGCCACCCCCGCTTCCTTCCCGCTTCCCAGCCGCTGCTTGTAGCGATGGGCATGCATACACACTTGTAACTGCTCTTCGTACCACCGATAGTGCTGCCCCCTGTTCCGCGCTCGCTCACTCACCACTTCATCCTCTCCTGTCTCCCCCTTTATCCAGCCCAGCGCATCCTCATCGCCCCACACATCGTCCGGCCCTCTGTCTCTACGTGCTGCCCCCACCTTCTCCACTTCTCGAGCCAACACCACCAGGCAAGCCACCGCTTCAGTTGGGGGCGGACTCCTTGCCAACCCATCAGTATGCTGCAGTGTGCTTCCTGACCTGTGCTGTATCGTGAACTCGTACTCCTGAAGCCGCATGGCCCAGCGCGCATTTCGCCCGGACAGGGTCTGATTTGTCATCAGCCATGTCAGTGGCTTGTGGTCAGTCACCAGAGTGAATGGCCTCCCTTGCAGGTGCACCCGAAAGTGGTGTACCGCCCATACTGCCGCTAGGCCTTTGCCTTCATAGGAACTGTAATTAGCCTCTGTCGGGTTGCAGCTGCGGCATGCAGATGCCACTACGCACTCTCCTGCCTCTCCATTCTGACTCAGGACCGCCCCCATGCCGCCGCTGCTCCAGTCGGTGTACAGAATGAAGGGTCCCTCCTTCTTAGGTAAATCCAGCACCGGCCCGTTCTTCACAGCTTCCAGCAGATCCTTCAGTGCGGTTGCTTCTTGGTCTCCCCACTCCCACGTTCTGTCCTCTCGAAGTAGCCGGTTCAACGGCCCTGCCCTCTTGCTGAAGTTCGCCACAAACTTCCGGTAGTAATTCAGGAACCCCAGTATTGCCCGGAGCGTGCTCTTGTCTTTCGGGGCTGCTAACTTGTCGAGGATGGCCACCTTCGCTTTCTGAATCGCCATCCTGCCCCCAGCCACCTCGAACCCGAGGTACTGCACTGTCCGGCTCCCGAAACTACACTTGCCAGGAAGGCATGTGAGAACCGCCTCTTTGATCACCATCAGTACCTTTCCCACGTCCCTCATGTGCTCCTCGACACTGCCGCTGAAGACTAAGACATCGTCTATGTAGCAAGCAGCATTCTCGATCCCAGCCAGCACTCCATCCATAATCCGCTGGAATACAGCGGAGGTGTTCCGCAGCCCAATGGGCATGTACATCCATTCGTACAGCCCGTCCACTCCATGGAACGTGGTCTTGCAACAGTCCTACTCTCTGATCCTGATCTGGTTGAAGCCTTGCCGCAGGTCCAGGGTCGAGAAGATCCAGCCTCGTGCCAGCCGGTCGAAGATTTCCTCTGGCGACATCATCGAGTAGCGGTCGGGAATGGTCACCTTATTCAGGTCTCGGTAATCTCCGCACATCCAGCGTTGCAAGGTCTCCCCGGCCAGATCCTTCCTGGTAGCCACCACCGTCGCTGCTGCATATGCCGAGTGTGATTTCCTGATTAGTCCCACCTCCTCTAGCTCCCTTCACTTTTCCTTGCAGATGTCTTCGTCCGCCAGACTCATCCTCCGCTTCCTCTGGTATGTCGGAACATCTGTTGTCAGCTCTATCGCCAGTTCTCCTTTCTTGCACTTGCCCAACTCCTTCATGCTGTAGGTGAAGGCCTTCCAGTGCTCCGCCAACAGGTTCCGCATCTACTCTACCTCTTCCCCTTGCACCCCATCGCTCAGCTCCCACATCACCTTCTTGTTCGGTGTCGCGCCCTGCTCGCTCGCCCCCGCCATGAGGGCATAGGGGGGGAGCACACTCCAGTATTCGCCTTTCAGCGCCTGGCTGCGGATGACTGGCCCTGCCGGTGGCCATCCCTCCTTCACGAGTTGCTGCTCTCCTGACTCAAGCTCAGCCCGCCACTCATTCTCCACTTCCCATTTCACCTGTTCCTCCCGATTCCAGCTGGCTGTGGCTTCTCGGATGTCCACACGTTTCTCCATCTGCAGCCTGGTGAGTTGCACGTGGATCGTGTGGAACAGCCAGGAGACCGCCTGCACGTCCATAGCTCTTCCTATAGCCCTGGTCCTCATCCACTCCTCCAGCCCTTCCACTGCAGTCGCTCTTGGCACCATCCCTATCGCCAGCTCCCTCTCCAACGCTGTTGGCTCCTCCCAACTCTTCTTCACGTGGTCATAGACCATGCCTGGGCCAGGGACGCCCCTCCTTTCCATCTTGAACCCGTTCGCTGCACCGTAGGCCATCAAGGTGGGCCACGCCGCCCTTGGCATTCCTGGCTGGTTGCATGGGTATTGTGCTGGGTGGTCGGTGAGGCGCACCTCGGCGGCTGTTCGGTTCGGCTCCAGAATCTGGTCCACCGTTCTTGCCACTGGCCTTACCACCTTCGCCAATTCCCACTGTGCCCTTTCCACTGTCATTCCATTGGTCCAGTAGCACCGCGTCTGATGCGCTAGTGACCCTGACTGCGTTGCGTCAAAGGCAACCCCTGGACCAAGCTCTGCCACCACCCTAGCGTGCGCCTTGCGCACCGGCTCCCTTGGATCCGTCGCCACGTCCAGGTTCTCCAGCAAGTACAGGTAATCTCCCTGCTTGCGTCGCAACTGCTTCATTATGCGCATCAAGTCTTCGAAGTGCGCTGTCCTACGATCTGCCATCCCCAGCCCTCTGCCTGCCCAGGAGACTCCTTGACACTCCCATCCCGCAATCACCACGTCTACATGCCCCCACCGGTCCATGTGGTGCTCGTCCACTTGCTGGATGTCGTGGACCAGATCCGCCCACGACCCGTCTTCTGCCCCTTCCAGCATCTGCTCTCGGTATTCTTCCCTCTATCCGTGGATGTGATGGCGTGCCATCTCCCTCGACATCTTCTCCACCTCGACTTGGATCCACCTCTCCACTGCCCAGCCTGCCTTGAGTAATGACGCCAACCCATTTGCCACCCCTCCAAATAGCTCCAACACTGTCACTGGCCTCTGTGGCATCTCCCAGTCTAACACTTGCGCGGGGAGCACCTCTCTCCTCTCTGCCCATTCCTCCCTTCTGTCATGCAGGTTCCTCTCCTTCTCATGGACCTGCCAAGGCTCTTCTCCCAGCTGAGGCTGTAGCTGGGCCATCCTCGCCTGGTAGGCGGCCTTGGGTTCCTAATTCACAAACCGTACCGATAACACCCCTCGTGGTCCGCCATCCCTCCAAACTGTGGTCGATGCACCACCCTCTCTTGCCATGTGCACACTGTTGCGCCCACCTTGTACAGCAGCTCCATTCCTATGAGCAGATCATAGTCTTTGGACTGTGAGACCCCACAGCGCAGCCGAATCCGTGCCTCATGCTTTTCTCCAGGCATGAGGATGATCTCCACGGGGCGGCGTGTGCTCGGCATCCATTTCAGCTCTCCTCCTTCCGCTGTCATCAGCAAGTAACCCCTCTCCTGCAGTTGCACTTCTTTGTCCAGCCCCATCCTTTCCGCCAGAACCTTGCCGATGAGCACGTGGTGCGCACCGGTGTCGATGATTGCCACCTCAACGGCAATTCCTCCCCAGCTATGGCCCTCTGCTCCACCACCAGCACAGTTGACTCACACACCAGCCTCTCGTGCGGGTGTCGGAAGGCCCCCTTTTGCAGCTCTGGCTCGAGCTCCACCTCCACCTCCATCTCCTGATCCCTCCTCCTTGGTCCTCGGGTACGGTAGGCCGAATTACCCGCCTGAGGGGCTGACCTGACCATGAGGGCAAAGGAGGCTTCACTGCCTTCGTTCTCCTCATCTGAGTCTTCCTTCCAAGCCAGATGCACCGCGGTGGGCGTCTCTTCGGCGTCCAGCTGCTGTAGCCGCTTCTGGATCTGCTTCAGCTGCTCATTCAGCTCCTCTCGCAGGTTCCCCTTCGCCTTGCCTTGTCGCTTGGCAAAACATTCCAACTCCCCATGAACCTTCTTGCCACAGAAGGAGCAGGACGGGATTGAAGGGCACTCCCTCTTGAGATGACCTTCCTCGCCACAGCGATCCCACGTCGGCTGCTGCGGGCAATCGCACTGGATATGCCTTGACTCTCCACACCGGTGGCAACGCCGGCGGTCGGACCACGACGGCCCTTCTCGTGCTCCCACCTTAGGCTTGCCCGCTTTGGCCAAAGGGGTCTCCCTTGCCGGGGAGGCAGCCCATGCGCCCCTTTTCCGCTCTGGTGCTTGGGCTTCCATTTGCTCAAGCTCGTAGAACCAATTCCCCAGCTCCTGCGTCTGTGCAAGCTCGAACGCATCCTGTAGCGTGGCCTTCCAGCCCAGCTCGAAGATCTTCCCTTTGATCTCGTACACCAGCGTCTCCTCCAGCGCACCGAGAAACTTCGATATCAGCCGCCGCTGGTCGTGATGACCGAGGTCTTCTGCTAGCTCTTGCAGGCACGCGTGGCAGCTGAGCAGAGATTCTTCGCGCTGCCGATTGAAGTGCACGTACTCTTGCATTTTCTCTGGCGTCTGTACGGGGAACTGGTCCTTCAAATGCTTCAGGAAGGCATCGATCGGCTCCCAACCGGTCTCTCGATTCCCAGACTGCCAGGTAGCTCATCTTCATCGACTGGTAGAACCGCTCTGCATCTCCGGTGAGCGTGTATGACAGTCCGAGGAAGAAGTCTTCACCGGAGTATCCTTCCTTCTTCCAGCGGTAGCGTACATTATCCAACTGCATCAAATAGTTCCGCACGTCTGCTCCTTCTCCCACTAGGCCCGAGAAGCAGTCCGGCACCTTCATCTCGGGTGCCCCGCCGATCTTGGGTCCGTCTCCTCTCACTTCTACCGGCATGCCGGCCAGATCTCCATTGCTTGCCCGACAAACCCACATCATGCCGCTCGCCGACTACTCCCCATGAGTTCGCTGCGATGCAGGCTCGAGCGTCGGTCCCCCTCTCTGGGTCGTGAAGTCCCCCGCTATATGATCTGCACCACCTATCCGCACTTGGGTAGTCCTCGTGACTACTGCGCCGCGGTGACGCATGGTAAACGTTGGCTCCAATCGTCACCGACTCGTGACGCTCCGATCCTGCTCCGCCGCTACCTTCCGACTGCGATCGCCACGGTGGCGAGGACGCTATAGCTCCGTCCAAGTTGGTCCGCTGATAGCGATTTCCTGATCGTAACAGCATCGTCGTCGGAGTTCAGCTCGTGTGTTTGTTGAAAAACCCATTGCTCCTGACAGGCTCTTAAGCCGTTCAGACTAGGAGCATACTTACTTCAACTGTCACCCGCGCTCGTACGGCACTCGTTTGAGTTAACAAGTACCTTTTATCGAGAAGCAAGAAACAAACACACGAGCTGAGCTCACCTAGGCTACGACTAGTGTTATATACATGAGTGCCACAGCCTAGCCTAGAGAGTCAGCGAGCAGGTGGCCCTTCAGATTCTCAACCATCCTGCTCTACAGGCACACTATGTACTAACAGACCATGCATGCATAACCATTCCTGTACAAGCACTGTTCCACGCCAGTTTGCGCCGCTCCGCCTCAGCAAGCTCGCATGGTGCCCTCGCCACGTCCTCAGCCCCCCCTTTCCAACATGCCTCTGCTCCGGAATCCTCGGTTCCGCCAACTGCCCCCCTCAGCCGCATCCGCACTGCAAGCCCATCGCCCCTGAGTCCTACACCTCACTAACCCCCAATCTGGTGCATTCTTATAATTGCAATGCAATTACAATTATGCGACAAAAGTCGAGAGAGTGCAACTCGTAGTCTCGCTATACTGCTACGTGTAGCAGCGCCCGAAGAGTAGTCATCTTCGGGGTCGGGCAAAAAATATGGAAGAAGTCCACACCCTCGTGCTGGCTGAAGCCTCTAGCCACGTAACGCACCTTGAATTCAAGCGGCTCTTCAGGAGGGCGCTTCACCTTGAAGAGCCACTGGTCATCGACTAGGTTCACCCCAGGTGGGGGAACTGGTTCGACGTAGGTGCCAGTGGATCTCCAAGATGCCATCTTCGTGTTGATGGCAGCTATCCACTAAGAGGCCCAGGGTCCCAAGGTTGCCTCAGCGTAGGTGCGAGGGGTCGGGATGTCGAAGGCGTCTGGGTCCCCCTTAGGGACTAGTAGCAACGTGGAGCAGAGATGAGGCATGACCTCGGACAAGAAAGCTAGCTCATATTGCCGGTCCTCCAGGACGTCATGGCCAAGGGCAGGAGAACCCCCGACAAACGGAGAATGGACAGGGTGAGAGACCAGAGTGGCGGTGTAGTCAAGGCGGCTAGAGGCAAAGTCAATGACAATAGCGACAAGAGCGTCAAGACTCGAGACAGGAACAGACGAGTCGGTAACAAGGGAGGCAAGGACCCGAGGAACAAGAGGACTAGTGGCACGAAGGTAGTCAGACAGAGGAGGCGGAGCGACAACAAGTGACGACAGAGGAGGTGAGGGGAGGAGGGGAGGACGAGACGCGTGGGAACGAAGCAAGATCGGGTGAGTGCGCTGGACAGGAGAGACAGGACCAGCATGAGAGGGACGACGAGACCAGAAGTGGGATGTAGGCGTTGGGTCAGGAGACAGGAGGAGTTACAGGAGGAGGACGAGGGGGGAAACGAGCCGGAGACAAGTCCGGCGGAGGAAACACAGGGCCGTAGACAGGCAGATGGGTGGTTAGGGGAGGGAAGGCCGAGCAGGCGAAGGGCGGACATCGGTGGTGACTGCTACTGCTGCTGCTCCACGCCGACACTAGAACCTCCAGCTGCACCATGGCTACCTCCAGAATGCTCCAGTCTAGCACCCCCAGAACGAGAATCCTCTCCAGCACCGGTGCCACCCCCGAGACCGCCGGTACAAGCCACGACAATAACCCCAGGACTAGCACCCCCAGAATCAGCACCCCCAGAACGAGAACCCTCTCCAGCACCGGTGTCACCCCCAGGACCACTAGGACGAGCCACGACAGGAACCTCAGGACTAGCACCCTCCTCAACGCCCGCACCCCCAAAGCCCACGGACAACTGCTTCTGCTGCGGTGGCTGCTGCTACGGCTGCGACGACGACTGCGGTTGCTGCTGCGGCGGCGACGGCGGTGGCTGCTGCGACGCCGGAGAAGGAGATACCGGGGGAGAAACAGGTGGCGAGAACTGCGCCACGGGGCCACCAGAGTCAGCCGACTCCTCGAACGGGACAACTGACGGGAGGGGAGTGACTTGAGACACACCAAACGGGGCAGGACGGGGAGGGAGGGGAGCAGGGGCTACCCGGGGAGTGGGAACTAGAAACAGGGGCGGAGAAACCGAGAGACCTCGGTGGGGAAAGCGGTGGTAAAAGGAGACAGACTCATCAAGAGTGACGTCACGCGAGTGAAAGAAACAGTGAGACGACAGGTGGTAAAAGTGTCTGTCAGACGAGTCAAGGGGGAAACCAAGGAAGACACACGGGACAGTGCGGGCAGTGAGCTTGTACGTGCCAGAGGCACGAACGTGAGCAAGGCAGCCCCAGACGTGGAATGCGGACGCATCACCAGGTAACCCGGTGCAGAGAAGGGTCGGCGAAACCTGCGGCCACTGGGAGTGCGGCCACAGGTTAAGTTGGTGAGCAGCGTAGCGAACAGCAAACGGCCACAGAAAATGGGGTTCACTGGCATGGATCATGGAGGTATCGGCCACCTCCATGACCAAACCAATGCGTCACTCGGGGACCCATTGTGCTGCAAGGAGTCTCGCAAGGTGTACGATTGGGTGATGCCCTGCGCACGACAGAATTGTCCAAGCCGACCAGAGGCAAACTCGCCACCACGGTCGGAGTGGAGACATAGCACGGGGAAACCGCGGTGGACGCGCGCAGCTACGACCCACGGGATAAGAATGTCAGGCACGTCAGCCTTCCGCTCAAGGGAAAACACCGTGGTGTAGTGTGTGTAGTCGTCGACAAGCACTAGAAAGTAGCGCTCTCGACGCAACCCAGGGACGGGGGCTGGGCCCTAGACGTCCAGGTGCAGGGTTTGTAGTGGCGCGGTGACATGGCGAAGCGAGGAGGAGTGAGGAGCATGGCGCAAACAGCCCTCAACGCAGGGTGTGCATATCTGCGCAAGCGAGAGACAGAGGGCAAGGAGTGAAGCGGGGAGGCCTAGGACAATACCATACTGAGACATGTGATGCAGACGCGGGAGTGCGGGGTGACCTAGGCGGTGGTGCCACAGAAGCGACGGGTGAGTGAGCGACCGACACGAGCAAGCCGCAATGACCTGGGTAGACGCAGGCACCTGGGGGGACGCCCTCACCAGGTGGGACTCAGTGTTGAGCGTCAACTGGCCAGGCATCGGGTCCCGGGGGATCGTGGTGAAGGGGGCACCTGTGGCGGCCTCGGTACTGATCGCGTAGCGCTCGTGGCCAGGGAACATAGTGGTGACGCCGAGGTCTTGAAGACAGCCGACACCAACTAGGTTCTTGGAGAGCGAGGGGATGTGCAGGCCTGTAAGGGAGCCCGAGGGAACTGCCTGACAGGGAAGGGAAATGGAGCTACGGGCAACTACCGGACCAAAGGAGGGGTCAGCAAGCGCGACAGTGGCAGGGGCGGCAAGCAGTATGAGCGCAGTGTGGTCGCGGAAGAAGCAAGCAGACGCACCAGAGTCAAGCGTAAATGAGAGCGAAGCGGTAGCAGCAGCCGGAGGAGGGGCTAGCGTGGAGCCCAGGCTAAACAAAGCAGAAGGTCCTACGCCTGACGCAGTAGGGGAGCCTAAACTACAATTAGAAGGCATACCTACGCTAGGCAACATAGGGTAATTAGGTGCGGTCACACTAGAGTCATCAGCATACATGGCATGCAAGGCAGATCAAAGCTGATCCATATCCATCTCAAAGACAGGCACACAGTGACGCACAATAATGGGCCAGTCGGGAAGGTCCGGTGCAGGGCCGAAGCGAAGACGGAAGAGATCGTCGAGGCGGCGGAAGCAGCGGGCAGCAGTGTGATTGGTACGACCACACACAGTGCCTTGGAAGGGGCCGGTCTGGAGCTGGTATTGGCAACCCACAGTGCCGAAGCTGCCACCCGACGCCGAGCTGCGAGGGCCGCCACCGCGGCCACCACCACCATAGACACCGGGCCAACCCGACGGGAGGCAGCCCCACTGCTCCGGCTGCTGCAACTGCTACTGTGGCTGCTGTGTTTGCTGCAGCTATGGCTGCTGCTGCTGCTGCTGCTGCTCTGGGGCACCTGACCCGGTCCCCTCATCGGAACCATTGTCCCCGCCCCCAACCCCACCACCCTTCCCCCCGCCACGCCCCCCCTTGGGACAGCGGCCCCTACCCTGACGCGGCTACATTGAGGCCGCAGCAGCAGTCTCAGCACCAGGGGCTGTCTTAGCGACAGCAGCAGGGGCTGTCTGAGCGACAGCAGCAGAGACGTTAGAGTAAGTACTCTCGGAGAGAGCAGAGCCCTGAAAGATAGGGACCGCTGCAGTACCGCTAGACTGAGCGATAGTGCGCTGGCGGGTACCTATCTCAAACACGGCGGTGACAAAGGCGATAAGGGTGAGGTCACCTGGGTACTAACTAAGGAAGTGGTCGCGAGCAGTAGCGAGGCGGTCTGGGAGGCATGTGGCGATGAGGTAAAGGGTAGCGCAAAGTGGCGGAGGGAAGGCAGTGAGCTGGGCCTTAGTCCTAGTGGTGCGGTAGCTAGCCTCAAGTGCTCGGAGGTGAGTGGCTAGGTCAGCGACAGTGGGGAAATCCGCAAGATCAGGGAACAGCATGGGGAGGATCAGGCGGCCAACTGAGGCTGAGGCGGGTGTATGGTAGCGCACAATGACTGCATCTAAGAATTCTTTGGCGTTCGCTACAGTGGTAAAGCGGGGACACCCAGACAGGGGGAGGGCGTGACTAATGGCAAGCTGCGCTACGGCATCGCGCAACTCCCAGACAGCGCGAGCAAGCGCAGCATCAGAAAAGGCCTCACGCTCAGCAATGGTGGGGGCATCAGGGAGGGCAGCAGGCACGGGGGGGCCAGGAAAGCAAACCATCAGCATGAACAGCCAGGGAGTAACCGTCCTGGCGCTGATCTGTTAAGTGACGGCGAAGGTCAACAAGCCACGCATCGAAGTCGATCGCTTGCCCCTCCGCGTCCAGGCGGAGCACAGGGTCCGCCATCACACGGCCTCAGCTACACGGTGGTACAGCTCCATGGCAGGACGGCGCCACATCGCCACGGCGGCACGGTGGCAGAGCGACACTGCGGCACGGTGGCGCCACTGGAAGTTGGGGCTGGCAGGAACGGGGGCCGGGTGCGGTAGGGGCAGCGAGCGAGCGGAGGCCGGCAAGCTAGGGCCTACGAGCGAGAGTCGGCGAGGTGGGGCCGACGAGCTAGGGCCGGCGGGCTAGGGCTAGCGTGGCACATGGGGCTAGCGGGGCGCGAATGGGGCTAGCGGAGCGTAAGGGACCAGCGGGGCGCACAGGGCGAGGGGGGCTTGACGGGGCCAGTGAGGCGCGAACGGGGCCAGCGGGGCGTGTGGGGCCAGCTGGGTGCAAGGGGCTAGCGGGGCTTGACGGGGCCAGCGGGACGCGGACGGGGCCAGCGGGGCACATGGGGCTAGCGGGGTTCGACGGGACCAACGGGGCGCAAACAGGGCCAGCAGGGCGTACGGGGCCAGTGGGGTGCACAGGGCCAGCGAGGCTCGACGAGGCCAGCGGGGTGCAAATGGGGCCAGCGGGGCATACGGGGCCAGCGGGGCACACGGGGCTAGCGGGGCTCGACGGGGCCAGCGGGGCGTATGGGGCCAGCGGGGCGCACGGGGCTAGCGGGGCTCGACAGAGCCAGCGGAGCGCGAATGGGGCCAGCGGGGTGTACGGGGCTAGCGGGGTGCTAAGGGGCCAGGGGGGCGCTAAGGGGCCAGCAAGGTGCTAAGGGGCCAGCGGGGCGCTAGGGGCTAGGGCGGAAGCGGGTGGGCAGACCTAACCTAATCGGATACCATCTTAACGTAGAACGAATTGATTAGAATGAGCTGGTACAAGGGGATATAACCTAGGGGTTGTACTCTATATGAGCATGCACCTAGCTAGCCTATAACACATACAAATTATATGTTGACAGATGGCACAGCGGAAGTCTTGAGTTGAACCCTTGTACTGGTATGTGAAAACAAGTGATTGATTATAGCAAAGGGATACAAGGTTTATATAATAATACAAGAGAATATGAGAAGTCTAACTGTTTTGCACTTCGAGGGGTACATTCCCTTTACGACTTGATAAAGCGACTCGGGTAACCACCCGTACTGTAATATCATCCACGTAGGCATGGGGCTGCTCGACGAAGATGTCGGCGTCGACCGGGGCATAGAGGAATGCACTGGCGACGTCGATTTGTCGCAGAGGAAGTCAGCGAGCGGTGGTGACGGCGAGAAGAATTCGAAGGGAACTGTGGCGGCTGACTGGAGCGAATGTTTCGGTATAGTCGCTGCCGTTCTGCTGGTCGAATCCGCGAACCACCCATCGTGCCTTGAAGCGTTTTATGGTCCCACCTCCTTTGGTCTTCACCCGGAAGACCCATTTCCCGGATAGGACCGACTTTCCCGTGGTCTGAGAAATGGGGATCAGTTTCCAAGTGTTTCGTTCATGCAGTACCGCTAACTCTCGATCCATTGCTTCCCTCCATTTCTCCCTGTGTGGTCCTTGCAGCACGCGCTTGACAGTCTTCGGCTCTTCGGCTCGCAGCGGCTGCGGAGGGTGCACGGCTGCTACGAGTACGAGGATTTGCAGACCAGTCTCGATGTAGCGGGGGAGTGTTGGATCCTCGGGATAGTTGGCCTCGTCTCCCACTTCAGGATCAGGTATGAAACCTGGTCTTACCCATTCTAAAACATTGGTGTCGACGCTGTGAGGTGTTACGTAAATAGTGTCGGCAAAGTGGTAGTAGGCTTCGGCATTCGCGCTTTCATGAGGGTTTTCATCGCCCATCGGCATGTCAACGGAGCAGTAAGGAAGTGGTCCTGCAGCTGCTGACGCGTCGAGGACGTTCTGCTCCTCCAGGTCAGCTTCTTCTTCGGTCGGGGCAAATGCCCGTGCTCCAGCGAAGCCACCGGATGGGTCCCGATTGGCTGCGATGTTCCCCAGGTAGTGGTTGAGGGTGAGGTTTTCGTAGAAAATCACATCACGTGCCGGTATTGTTTCCTTGTCTTCCACGTCGAAGATTTTCTAGGCCTTGTAATGTTTTTCCATGCCAAGGTGTAGACCCCATCTTGTCCGCTGCGAAAATCGTCCAGCTCGTGCAGTGCGCGGACGGTACTATACCATGCAGCTGAACGCTCGTAACAGTTTTGTGCTGCCCTGCTTCCCTGTCCACGGCAGATGCTGTGATGCATTGTTTGGCAGGGAGCTTGACAACAGAAGATTCTGCAGCATGACGGTGTGATTCATCACCTCCGGCCACAGCAATTTGGGCAGACGCATTCCAGTCAGCGGCTTCCTCATGGTGTTCTGGAGGGTCCGATTCATCCTCTCTGCTACACCATTATGTTGGTGAGCATAGGGTAGGGTGACGAGCCTCTTGATTCCTCTCTCAGCGAGGTAGTCCTTGAACCGCAGTGACTGGTATTCCATCGCCCCGTTTGACTGAGAAAATTTCAGCTTCGTGTCTCCCTCCCGTTCTGCTGCAGCAAGCCATGTGACGAAGGCAGAGAAGGTGAGGTCGCATGATGGTAGGTTAAGATGCTAGGTGTATCGTGTCGCAGCATCGACGAAGGTAATAACATAGTTGAGGTCAGCCTGGCCGACTTCTTGTGGGACATACAACATATCGTTGTATACCAGTATATCGGTTGACGAGGAAGATCTGCTTCCGGGCACATAATGCAGGTACATCGAGGTCGTGGAAGCTCATGTCCATCGAGTAGTAGGAGCGCATCTTTGTCCAGGACATTTGCACGAATCGTGTCAAATAATCTTGAATTTCCAGAATGTCCTAACCGTTGATGCCAAGTCTCCTCGCTTGCCTTGTGTCCCACAGATCGATGATACATGTCTGAGTTGGCGTAGAAGGCGGAGACGGTCACGGCGCTTCGATGCTGCTCGCGAGAATGTGCCTTCAACTGCTTGGCGTCGATCGGTGGTGGCTCCTCAATGGATTTCGTTGGAGGCGGAGCTTCTTTGACGTGTGGCACCGATGAGGTCCCAATGATGGGACTTGTAGGAAGTTGTCTTGTCGGCGCTTGCGGTTCTGCTCCGTGTTCCTCTGCTTCTTATGCCCCTGCTTCTCATTCTTGTGCCTCTGCTCCTTGCATCACTGCTAAGGCTCGTGTGCTCTCTGCTTCATGTATGGTGTTGGATTACCAGAAGCCATCGCGGTCAAACCCTGGGTCAAGATCCGGCGGGTGCGTCCAGGGCGCGAATGAGACGACGCCGTCGCTTTCGGCGGTCCTGCGGTCTGGAACGAAGTCCAAGACGAAAAATCTGTGATTTTGGAGGGCCCTGCCGATAAAGAGACCGCCCTTCCCATGGTAGAGTCGGAACTCTCGATTGAAGCCGTCACACTCCAGGTGAATACCTTTCGACATTAGCTGGCTGACACTTAGTAGATTGTAGTCGTGTGACATTTGTAGTATCACGTTTGTTTTGCTTGATTGTAACTAAACGACACCTTCCTTTCGTGTGCGCAGGTTGTCAATACGGAGGCGAGTGTCGCTTTTGTTGGTGTTGATGTTTGTGGTTGCATCCGTGTGTATAGAACGCGAGTTGCTGACTTGGTTTCTTTGCATGTCTTTCTTTGTACCGGTCCATGTCTTGCTGCTCGGCATGGAGCTCCGCGCACAGGTGCATCTCGGAGATCCTCCCGTGGGTGCGTAGGAGGGAGCACGTCGTACGCCACTGTGGGCTGAGGTCAGCAAGGACGACCGTGATGAACGAGTCCTCCAATTAGTGCCCTCCGCTTTGTAGAAGCTTGTCGCGTAAGCCTCTGCAACGATTAATGTACGGCATTGCCTTTTCTCCTGGATGCATCTAGCTTGTCGTGAGTTGTGCCATTAGTCGGCTTTGTGTCATGCTGTCAGACGCTTGGTAGACGCTCTTTTGATGACAATATGCCAGTTCGGCCGAGTTGCCGAAGTTGCGATATGTGCGGATGCTGTGCTGCTTCGTTGCTGTCATGTTGCGCAAGAAGATGGTAAAGGCCATCAATGACTGATAAGTGTAGATTTTCTTTTCCGGAGTAGTCCCGTTTACAAGAAAGGGCCAGGAGCCAGTGAAGAAGCTGAGGATTTGCGCGCCATCCATCAGCAACTCCAATTCGAAGCTCTAGGCGAAGAAGTCCTTCACGTTGAAAGGCGAGGACGTCTGTAGTTTCAGGATATTGTTGAACTGTTGCTGCATAGTGACAATGTCCGCCTGCTTGTTAGCTGTCTCTGAGTCCATAGCCGGCGCGGGAGTCGGCAGGAAGGTGAACGAGCCTGGCGAGGGCTGGTATGGTTGATGCTGTGTAGGCTGTGTGCCTCTTGCGTACGATGCACCGTCGAGGCTCATTGGAACTGCCCCGTTGTTGTTGTTGTTTGCCGTTTGAGTAGGTGCCGAGGGCTGCTCGCAGCTCGACATGAAGGAGAAGACCTTGTGGAGGAGGCCACTGGTTGCGTGGAGGCTCCTGCAGCTGCGACTGCCTCAGTCTATAGTCCAGAGACTGGGGGTGCAGAGGGGGATCCAGTAGAGGAACTATCGCTCTTAGATGGCGCCATGTCTTGTAATCTTGAATTGATAAACTGAAGTTGTTGCAAGTGAATCTTCAAACGAGTTAGAAACTCATTGAGGGAGTTTGTAACAGGAGCATAGCTTCTGACTAGCTCTCATACAATGTTGGGCTGAGAATAGCCCTAGGATCATTTCAAAAGACTAAGTCCTTGTAACAGGGTGCTTAATAGCACAGCAGAAGTCTTGACTTGAACCCTTGTACTGGTATGTGAGAACAAGTCATTGATTATAGCAAAGGTTTATATAATAATACAAGAGAATTTGTATAATCTAAGTGTTTTGCACTTCGAGGGGTACATTCCCTTTTACGACTCTATACGGCGACTCGGGTAACCACCCGTATGTCAACATATATATTTGTATATATTTATAGGCTAGCTAGGAGCATACCTTAGAGAGTACAACACTTAGAACAAAACTACCCTGTATGCCCTTTTCTAGTAAATTCATTACCTTGAGATGGTATCACACTAGGCTAGGTCCTCCTCGCCCACATGCGCTTCTGCCTTAGCCCTAGTCTTAGCTCTAGTCCTAGCCCTAGTCCTAGCCTGCAGGCCCCGCTCGTCGCCCCGCGCTCGTAGGCCCCGCTCATCGCCCCACGCTCGCTGGCCAGCGTTCTTCGCCCCGCACTCGTAGGCCCGCCCTCATCTCCCCACGCTCACTGGCCCGCCCTCGTAGCTCCGCGCCCGCTGGCCCAGCTCATCGCCCCGCGCTCGTAGGCCTGCCCTGTTGGTGCAACCCTATGGCTTGCATTCGGCTTGTCGTCCTTGTTTGTATGTGTGCAGGCATGGCATGGAATGTCTTGTGAGTCTATGTCATTGCTATCTAGTGCTTGTGTGTGTGTTTGAATTATGTATCACAATGTGCTTTGTGTCGGTCAAGACATTAGCGAGTTTTCACAACTCGCATGTCAAGTCGTCGTTTGCGTGTTGCATGTGTTTTTCTATTTTGTCGAGTGTGAAGTATCCATCGCATCGCAGGTGTGTGCAGCAAGCCATCATCAACTCAAGAATAATTTATCTTGCAGAATCAAGACCAAGAGCTCAAGATTTCAAGCCCAAGGGAAGTGGATAAATATTAAAATAATGAAAATAGTAATGCTACTTCATGTAGTGTTACATTTCACTTGGTCCAGCCCCTTGTTGAGTTTTTTTCGAGTCCCTTCATGGTTGGGGACTCTGTGGTGGTGTACCACCACTTTGGACCTCGGCTCTTGGGGCTTGTAGA